GATTGCCTTTTGTGTTATCAAATAATACTAGTAATACTAGACACCTGAGTCTGGTTGCCTATTGCAAAATAGAGTTTGGTTGTCAGGTGCATAACCTGGCCTAGTTTGGTGATATTTCATAGCAGGGGCAGACTGACCATTTGGAAACTCGGGCACTGCCTGAGGGCCCAGGGTCAGTAGAGGGACCCATGAGATGCCCCTGGTACCTTTTTCATAGGCTTTTTTGAGTTTGGGCAAGGACACAGGGGCCCCATGAGTTGTCAGTCCACCCATTTCATAGCTGATCCTGGTTTTGAGTGAAATCTGTCTGCCTTATCTTTTAATATGAACAATATTTCTCTATCCCTGTCTTGATGTGTGACTAGTGGATTTTATAGTTCTGACCCAAATTCTCATCTGATTTTTCTTTTGACACTGCTGTCAACCAGATGGCCTAATCCTTGACTCATCTACTGTCTGCCTTTTATTTTAGCATGAACAATATTCCTCTATCCCTGTCTTGATGTGTGACTAGTGGACTTCATAGTTCTGACCCAACTTCTTATCTGATTTATCCCTTGACACTGCTGTCAACCAGATGACCTAATCCTTGACTATCTACTGTCTTCCTTTTAGGCATTGACCTTGGCCCTTGTACAGTGGGGATCGAAAGTTTGGGCACCCCAGCTAAAAATTTGTATTAATGTGCATAAAGAAGCTAAGGAAAGATGGAAAAATCTCCAAAAGGCATCAAATTACAGATTAGACATTCTTATAATATGTCAACAAAAGTTAGATTTTATTTCCATCATTTACACTTTCAAAATAACAGAAAACAAAAAAATGGCGTTTGCAAAAGTTTGGGCACCCTGCAGAGTTAATATCTTGTACTGCCCCCTTTGGCAAGTATCACAGCTTGTAAACGCTTTTTGTAGCCAGCCAAGAGTCTTTCAATTCTTGTTTGAGGTATCTTTGCCCATTCTTCCCTACAAAAGTCTTCCAGTTCTTTGAGATTTCTGGGCTGTCTGTCATGCACTGCTCTTTTAAGGTCTATCCATAGACTTTCAATTATGTTGAGGTCAGGAGATTGTGAAGGCCATGGCAAAACCTTCAGTTTATGCCTCTTGATGTAATCCCCCATGGATTTTGAGGTGTGTTTAGGATCATTATCCATTTGTAGAAGCCATCCTCTCTTTAACTTCAGCTTTTTCACAGATGGCATCAAGTTACCATCCAAAATTTGCTGAAATTTTATTGAATCCATTTTTCCTTCTACTCGTGAGATGTTCCCTGTGCCACTGGCTGCAACACAACCCCAAAGAATGATTGATCCAACCCCATGCTTAACAGTTGGACAGAGGTTCTTTTCATTAAATTCTCTGCCCCTTCTTCTCCAAACGTACCTTTGCTCATTCTGGCCAAAAAGTTCAATTTTAAACTCATCGGTCCACAGAACTTGTTTCCAAAATGCATCAGGCTTGTCTATATGTTCATTTGCAAAGTTCAAATGATGATTTTTGCGGTGAGGGCGTAGAAGAGGTTTTCTTCTGATGACTCTTCCATGAAGACCATATTTGTACAAGTATCTCTTTATAGTGGAATAGTGTACCACAACTCCAGTGTCTACCAGATCTTTCTGGAGGGATTGTGCAGTCAAACGTGGGTTTTGAATAGTTTTTTCTCACAATCCTGCGAGCTGTTCTGTCTGATATTTTTCTTGGTCTTCCAGATCTTGCTTTAACTTCCACTGTTCCTGATGACTGCCATTTCTTAGTTACATTCCGAACAGAGGATATTGACATCTGAAAATGCTTTGCTATCTTCTTATAGCCTTCTCCAGCTTTGTGAGTGTCAACTATTTTCAGTTTTAGTTTTCTAGACAACTGCTTAGAAGAACCCATGGTGCTGATTGTTGGGGCAAGGTCAGATGAGTCTGGGCATTTAAAACCTTTGAGCTTGACATCACCTGGTCTTCCCAGATGATGATTGAGAACAATCCATGACACTGGCAGGTCTCAGCTTGGCAAAGGGGGCAGTGCATGCTATAAATTCTGCAGGGTGCCCATACTTTTGCAGACGCCATTTTTTTGTTTTCTGTTATTTTGAAAGTGTAAATGATGGAAATAAAATCTAACTTTTGTTGACATATTATAAGAATGTCTAATCTGTAATTTGATGCCTTTTGGAGATTTTTCCATCTTTCCTTGGCTTCTTTATGCACATTAATGCAAATTTTTAGCTGGGGTGCCCAAACTTTCGATCCCCACTGTAGATACTGTTAGCTTTAACATAAAAACTTGAGGGAACCAAGAGTACAACATAATCAAATAAACCTTCCATGAAAGGAGGCGGCTGAAGGTGAAGAGTACTGCAGCACTAGTCATAAGGAAGTGGCTGATCTTGACATAATAACCACTCTAAGGATTACAGTAATGATGTCAGCAAATTCATTCAACTCAGTAGATATTAAGAGTACAGAAGATATTAAAAATATAGTTACAGTTCATAAACTCAAAAGCAGATTAGATTTAAAAAAACAGAAAACAAAATAAAATATATGTAGACTTTACATAGCTACATCTAATTCCTTTCCTCTAAAATGTCATAGGAATTTCATGTCAAACCTATAGACTGAAAAATTCACAATAATTTCTGTCTATGGCTTGTAAATGCAACGAATCACTGAATTTATAATTAATAAGTAGGTAGCCGAAGAAGGGGAAGTCACAGGTTATAAAATCCTCTCATTGACCTTCCACGTCTGCTTCCAGTCCATAAACTGTTTAGACATTTCCCCATGGTCCTGAATAAGGTAATCTTCAAAAAAATTAAAATACATACATGAAAATACATAAATTGACAAAGAAATTCCTAGCACATACAGTAGTTTTGTACTGTGCCACTGATAAATTGTAGCAATAGGCATGTGATAACACACATAATTCACCCAATCCCATATTCAATATACAGCATATTATATGGTCACCTATTTGTGAACATCACACCTGACCATATAGCCAAAAGCATCATAATTATGGTGTTCAGGAGTTTCAGCGAATGGTACTGTTTTGAGCTTCCAAACGTATGACAACAGTTTGGGGAATATGCTTTTGTCCCAGCATGATGGTGTCTCTGTGTCTGTGGACAAACCAGCTCAATAAAGACATGGTTTGTTGAGTTAATTATGGGGGGACTTGTGTGGCTTAACTGGAATGCCAATTGTGAGCCAGGTCTTTTTATCCAACATCAGTACCTCAATTCACAAATGTTCTTTTGGCTGAATCAGAGCAAATCCCCATAGACACATATCAAAATCTTGTGGAAAACTTTCCCAGAAGAGTGTAGGCTGTAAAAAGTGCAAATCGGAAGCCAACCTCTCACTAATACCTATTCTTTTACAATGAGATGCCCCTTAAGCTGTGATGGGCACAAACCTTTGGCCATATCATGTATCTAGTAAATCATTAAAGTGTTTTAGTGTTTCTGAAGTCTAATTTATTTTTTCAATTAAAGTAGCAAACATGTTATACTCACTAGCTCTGGGCAATGCTATTACACAGAGCAGCCTCGATTCCCATCTTCTTGGATCCCCCCGCTGGCGATCTTGGCTCCCCCTCTTTTTTGTGTGTCCCCATAGCAAGCCATTTGCTATGGGGGCACACGGTGTCTGCTCACTCCCGAGCAGTGGAGCTGTGCGTCTGTGGAGCTGATCCATAGACACATACAGCAGGACTTAGCCCTGCCCCCACTGTGTGAAGAGAGAGAGAGGGGAGAAGAGATGCAGCCGTGCACAGAACTGGATCTCTTCTCTTTCTTCCCCCTCACACAATGAAGGGGGAGGCCCCGAGAAATACAAAATGTTTTGAAGCTTATTGAAAGGAATGCATTAAGGTAAAAAAAATGTTTAGCTTTAGTATCACTTTAAGTAAAAATAACGGACATTATTTTGCTTGGCTCCTCTACTTTGTAGTGTTGTCATTTTGTTTTTCATTATACTTAGTGACTATGTTGTTGTATTAGGAAAAAATACAATACATTGCAGACATTTATCTTTCTCTACTCTTATTTGTTAGAGGAACTCATGTGATGATGTGCATGTACAAGGGAATCTGATTATCTGTTTCTGAAAAAAATGTGACATTTCTAAAGGAGCTGTAATTCTTTTTGTTGGGACACCTGTCTCTTCCAGATTTGGACCAAAGTCATAGCACATAAAGTGGAATAGCCATGCCCTTTCCCCAACATCATTAAATTATGTGAAGCCTCCTGTGTAGTTCTGGGAACAGAATTTCAATGCGCTACTGTGCCCATGTGAAATGCAGTAGAAAGGTTCCTAACATTTTTTAAAAATGCAGCTGAACAGAACTGCATGGTGTTTTGGCACACCCAAAACTACGCAGCATTTTCCGATGCATGGGGGCACCATTAACAGCAGCCCCATGCATCTGCTAAAGAACAACGTGGTTTGCCTGTGGGTCTGCAAACGCATTCCTGGACCAGCTACAGTGTGAACCTAGCCTTAGCTGCTGCATAATTTATTATTCAGTTTCTTAAGCTAGGTTTACACTATAGCGGGTCTAGAAACACTTGTTAATTGCATGCAAAACATGCTGCTCTTTTTCAGATGCACAAGGTTACCATTAACTCTTAATGCTACCCCCGGCACAATTTCGGGTGCATGAAATTGCATAGTGCAAAAGCACCATGCGGTTCTGAGTGCCCGCATTTTTTAAAAGGGGTAAGGGTCCTTTTCCCCCACATTTCCACAGGTACAACAACCCATTCAAATGAATGGGCTGCTGTGCTCACACAAACACTTCACCACCCACACAATTGTGAACTTAGCCTTACTGTAGCTTACACTAATCAAACACAGCTGTCATGCCCTGCCATGCCCCAGCGGCCACTGACATCTTCATCCCTGCGGCTCCCAGGTATTGATCCCTAGCCATTTCCGTCGGCCGAGCAGGGATGATATCACTCTCACGTGTGTGTGTATAGTGGCATACAAGCAGCTATCCAGGGGCGGACTGACCATTTGGGAACTCAGGCACTGCCCGAGGGCCCGGGGTCATAAGGGGGCCCCATGAGATGCCCCTGGTACCTTTCAAATGCTTTTTTGGTTGTGGTTTGAATGTGGGCAAGGATACAGGGGCCCCATGATCCCCTATTGCCCGGGGGCCCCATGAGTTGTCAGTCCACCCCTGCAGCTGTCTAACTTTATTGCACAAGAGACATAGCATGTCTCTTCTGCATTAAAATCCTGCCTGCTTGAAGTTTCTTTTAAAAGATAAAGTTTCACTATCATGTGTTTGCAATATTGTAACATTTACATTTCATTCGATTGTAACATTTTTATACTTGTAAAGCCACTGACAAGTAGCTAAAAATGCTAACAGCATAGAATAGCAGACAGAGAAAATTGTATGTATGAGTCTTAATCAATTTAGTTTAGTTCCCCCCGGTGGTTAAATTGATTGTGCCTCATGTATCAAAGCAGTACTAAGAATTGTCAGTATTTTTATCCATAGTCACCATCAGATTTAAAATGTCAGTGTCCAGCTGTCATTTTATAGAACATGTTTAAATTTGATGGGTGGCTGAAGAACAGCACTGGTACTGACAGTTTGACGTATGAGACCCATTATTTCTTAGTAGCTTCAGAAAAATATAACAAATAGTGTGGTGACCATTTACAAACTGTAGTAGCCAATAGAAAACATTCATATTTAGCATTTCATCACATTGGAGCAGCCAGGAAAATGAAAGATAACCCAACAAACATACTGGTGAAATTGGCTTTACCCTAAATTTGCAGCCTGAAAAAATATTTTTTTAGCCTTGAGTATAGTTGGAAATGGTTAAAAATCAAAATAACCCAACTGTTGTGACCACTTACAGGAGATTTTCCCGTATTTAAATGAGTACTTACCTAAAGTGGTAGTTCAGTCAAAAACTATACTTAAATCTACTTCCAACTCCCAGTCTAAGCCTATTGTATCTACCCTGTGAAAGGAAAGGTCTGTATACTTACCTTTTTAGAGGGTGCTACTGTCAGGTCACATGACTGGCTCCCAGCACTTGCTCAAGTGTAGAGGAGGGACAGTCAACAATGAATACCCCATAGAAAGCCTATGGATAATGTCATTGCCAAGGTTCTGCAGCCATTGTTGGTGATCTCTCCTTGTCACTGAAGCCAGCACTGGGACCCAATCATGTGACCAGACTGGAGTGCCCTCAGCATAGTTAAGTATATAGATCTTTTGTTTACAGAGTAGAATATACTTAGAATGGGGGTGGCAGTAGATTTATGTATAGGATGGATCCAATGAAGCCGCATAGCTATGCAGACCCGCTGATATTGGAATGAATGGCAGTCTTAGCCTGGGCTCCCACCAGGCCATGCCCTCAACACGTTTCACTATGCGTTCTGAAAAGATGTGCAGCTTCATGGGATCCATCCTTTGCTTAATGGGTTAGTTTATCTTAAACAAAAAACTGCCTGTGCAGGTAAAGGGTGTCTGCAGATAAAACAAACTGTGCACCTCTGACTGAAGTTGAATAATGCCCTTGCTATAGTTGTAGGCCATTTATGTATCTCTGAAAGCCTGACTGGAATCCTCCCAGGACGTTGCTAGGACATTGCTAAGTGAGGCCTAGCCATTACTACTCACCTTCACCATCACAGGAGTGAGCTTTTTCTCTGATGCAGTCCTTATCACGTGCTCATTTTCTCCCCTGATGCAGTAGCTCCAAGCTGAGCGTTTGAGAGCTCACTCCTGTGATGGTGGAGGTGAGCAGTAACGACAAGGTCTCTCATTTCGGGAGTATTCCAGTCAGGCTTCATGAGATATGCAGCAACCACACAGGATGGAGAGTGGGGAAGGTGTCCAGTAAATATGTTACATTTGCCAACCCCTTTCTTTCCTGAATGAACACAAGTGATCGATACCAATCACTCACTGTGTTCATTCATAACTGAAGCATAGTAAAATGTTTTGTTTTTTTAGGGGGCCCTGTCAGGTTGGCTGTATGGGGCCCCATGGTTTCTAACAGCAGCCCTGCTAAGCAGCACACATTATCCATTACCGTTTCAGAGATTCTAGTTAGTGTTTGACCAAACTTCCACTTTAAATGAGCATTACTTATATGATTACTTGCTTAAATGAGTGGAACAGCCATCCCTTAGACAAGAAGACAACAATAGAGAACAGACACGGGTTCTTATTCTTCCCCATGTTGCTAAAGCATGCTTGTTTGCATGGACAGATTGTCCCAATTGGACAGATTTCTCTTCACTTCCTTCCCTTATGACAATTGGTCACCAGGACCAGAAGAGAGGGGAAAGCAACCTAACATCATCATAGAGAGCAGAAAATCAAAATGTAGTATCTATATCTAACCATTACCTACTCAATCCGAAACTAAAAAAAAAGTTTGGCTGGAGTTAGGCTTTAAAGTGTATTTGACTGGGACAGGGGCATTAAACTGTAAGATCCCTCTGAACCAAGTGGTTCAATGTTTCCTAGAAAGCTACGCAGAAAAAAATGGCAGCTCTATATATCAATGAGCAGAATAAGTAATTGTTCATTGATTGTTGGGATCTCCTTCAATTGGAATACTGCACTTTGACTTATTAGACTGCACATTCTGCTTTGGTTTCTAAGATTTATCGTACTATTTTTTTTTTTCTTTTTTCTTCAATATATGCCAGGAAAGCACCAGTATTTTTAGATGTGCCATTCTAACTTTAGGAAATTAATTTGGATCATGTTTTTTTTTTCCTTCTGCTCTTCCTCTGCTCACACATACTCAGTAATACCACAGTGGGGAATTGTGAGTCAAGACATCTTCCACAGTAACAGCACTATTTTCAGCTTGCCTCTGTTTTATTCAATATTAACACTAGTGTTATGCTGGCTGCTTTAAATAGGCATGCATGTTGACAAAAAATATTTTAGGCTACTGACAATCTTGCTGTAGCTGCTCAAACTAATATTATTGTGTACATAATCAGTATTACAGCAAGTATAAACTCAAAGGTACTTAATTCATTAAATTGTATATATATGATGGTAAGGTTCCATTCACACCAGCTGCACTGGGATTGCACTGGGCAACCTAGCTCAGTGCAATCCAAATGCAAAAACACAACAAAAACAAAAAAGGAAACAAAAAAGGCGCATTGGCCCCACCAGGGGCCATTCACATATAAGCAGATTGGATGCAGTTTAACCGCTTTGCCACCGCCCTATAACAAAAATACTGCTACAGGGTGGCAGGGCTGCGCAAAATCACATATATATATATATATATATATATATATATATATATATATATATATATATAAAAGTGATTTTGCATTTCCGGGTAGGGGGCATGCGTGTCCTACCTGTGCCACCATTGGCTGCCTCGGATGTCAATCTCCGGGTCCTGGCTGGTGATTCCCTACCGGCCGAGCAGGGGCGGACTGACCATTTGGAAACTCGGGCACTGCCCGAGGGCCCGAGGTCAGTAGGGGGCCCCATGAGATGCCCCCGGTACCTTTTATATAGGCTTTTTTGAGTTTGGGCAAAGACAGAGGGGCCCCATGATCCCCTATTGCCCGGGGGCCCCATGAGTTGTCAGTCCGCCCCTGTCACCGAGTATCACTGATGGGGGAGAAACCTGTATGTAAACAATACAGATCTCTCCCCTGTCAGCTCCTGCTCATTGCTTTGTATTGTTCTGCATAGCAGAACAATACAAAGCAGAGCAATACAAAGCAATGTGCTAACACAGTGAAACACAGCGGACAGTAAAAAAGCACACAGTTAACTTAACCCTTTGATCGCCCCAGATGATAACCCCTTCCTGCCCAGTGCCATTAGTACAGTGTCATTGCTTTTTATTAGCACTGATCACTGTATTAATGTCTCTGGGATGTCAGTGAGTCAGTCCCCCCCGCCCCCCCAGTGTCAGAATGCCTGCCGCAGTCACACTATAAGTCGCTGAGCGCTGCCATTACTAGTTTTTTAAAAAATTAAAAAATTCCAGTATATATAACACCATTTGTAGATGCTATAACGTTCATGTAAACCAATTAATTTACACATATTGGGATTTTTCTTTAGCAAATACATTTTGGCCTAAATTCATGATGAAATTTGATTTTTTTAATTCTTTTACTGGACATGTTTAATAGCAAAAAGTCAAAAATATAGTTTTTTTCTCAAAATTATTAGGTTTTTTTTGCTTATAGCCCAAAAAATAACAAATGCACAGGCAATCAAATACCACCAAAAGAAAGGGGAAAAAAAGGACATAAATTTAATCTGGGTGCAGCGTTGCATGACTGCGCAGTTGTCAGTTAAAGTAACAGAGCGCCATATCGCAAAAAATGGCCTGGTCAGGAAGGGGGGTAAATCCTTTGGAGGGCAAGTGGTTAAACCGCATCCAATCTGTATGGCATGTGAAATAACATTGCTTCCTATGATGCCTGTTCACATATGTCTGGTGCACTGGCAGTGCAGATTCAGAGTGGTTTTAAAATTAGTCATGTCCGATTTCTGAGCAATGCGGTGCTGTTCAGGTGCGGATTACAGGCTATTGACTTCTATGGGAGCCATTTCTAAACCGCATATGTGTGAACAGGATAAGATCCTGAGCTAATCCTGTCTTGAACCTGATGTAAACCTGATGTGAACCGCTGAACAACTACTGTATCAATTAGCTGTGAATTAGCACAGTGGCTAAATGGTTAGCACTTCCGCCTGGCAGTACTAGGGTCATCGGTTCAAATCCCAACCATGGTACCACCTGCCTGGAGTTTGCATGTTCTCCCTGTGCATGCGTGGGTTTCCTCCGGGTACTCTGGTTTCCTCTCACACTTCAAAGACATGCTGGTAGGTGAATTGGCTCCTGTCTAAATTGGCCCTAGTATGTATATATGTATGAATATGAGTTAGGGACTTTAGATTGTATGCCCCTTGAGGGTTAGGGACTGATGTGAATGTACAAAATATATGTAAAAGCGCTGCATAAATTGATGGCGCTATATAAGTACCTGAAATAAATAAATCTGAGCTTCAATCCACACCACACATGTGTCAATCAGCTCTTACATATAACCAGTGAAGTGACTGGTCTCAGTTGATACACAGAGATGAATCAAATCTTCCTACATAAGTTGTACCTGTTTATCTATAGCTGCCTGTCCCCTACATACATTCAAAGTGCTGAATTTGCCAAGGATCTCACAGCTCTGAAAAGTAGGGGGTGGGGAGCTGCAGTTACACACTGCACAAAAGCTCTGAGACCTGATTGGAGGGAAGAGACACACCCCCCTCCACACAGCTCACAGAAACAGGGCTGAGGCTGTCAATTTGATGGAAATCCTTCCCCTGTCACCATGTTTCTGTTGGTGTCAGAGGTGATGCATGGCAGCAGAGAGAAATGACACTTAGTGCTCTTAATTGAGACAAGTACACACTATAGAGGGATATGCTTTGTTCACATTTCATGTCTGAGGTTTACAACTACTTTAAATTGTTACTTTATGAATCATTTTTAAATTACTTTGTTTTTTTTCCCAAATAGGAATTTAAGGCATATAAGTAGATACAACGTAGATATATCCTATCATTTCCTATACAGATTGTTACATATCTGTGCTGAACAGAATGTTATAAAGGTCAAACCACAAGATCAATGTTATTGCATCTTCCTCCAGAAATAGATCCACCTTGACAATTCCTAAGGTCGTGGCTTCTAATCATTTAAAATAAGATTGCAAGGAATAAGTGAGTGACTGCTGAAACAATACCATATTATTAAAAACAAATTATGGTTACAGCTATCTATCACCTAGATTTCAGTAAAGAGCCATTGTTGCCATTGCTGTATATTCTGCACTACATGGCTTCATGCACACTGCTGCCTAAAAACTCAGCATTTTTAGGCCTACCTATTTTTTTTTTTTTTGACTGATCTATATGCACCCCAATGTTTTTAATGTGCCTGTACAGATTGAAAACATTTTAAAAAATACAGAGATCAGAGTTGTCAGTCAGTAATGTATATGCAAATAACCACGCAAAATGTTAATTTGTAGAGAATAAAAATTCCATTTTGAGAGCTAGCATTTATTTTACTTATGTACGCCCATATACACAAATATGTGCAAAATAAAGACATTTTAGCCAAAATACTGATGTTTGACATCAGTACAGTGTGCAACTACCTTATCTATTGGGCATAAGAAGGCAGATGTCCTAATGGTACTGAAATTACCATCATTCTATGCACACCAGCTGAATTTGTAAACCACATGTACTGAGAGAGCACCCGTACTAACTTCTGAAATGTGAGAGTGGATTGACTGGGGCTCGTGTCTACAGAGTTGTTGAACCTTTAAATTATTTGTGTAAGCGGAGAGCTATCAGCACATGAGTTCAAAGAAATGCAGTTTTCCCATTCTGTTATGAGATTTCTAGTTGTATATAATATAAAATAAGTGCCCAAGACATCCAGTTATACTCCTAATTGAAAGGGCCATTCAACCTAAAAAGTTATATTTTTGTGATAGGTGGATAAGTCCCTCCAGCTGTTGCCGATGGGACTTGCAGTTTTGCAACAGCTGGAGGGCCTCCAGTTTGACACCCCTCATGTAGTATATGATATAATAAAATATCAGCAGTGGTTACTGTCAAAGAAAATACTCATGTCGAAATGATCTGTAGGTCTAGAGATAAAGATAGGTGATGTTACATAAACTGTAAAGGTTTAGCTTGGTCCCAGCCTTCCCACCTCCAAGGAGGTTGCCCATCTCTAGGGCATCCAATAAGAGGCAGGCCCCAACAGTGCTCAGTGGTTCCTCCTGCCGACCTCCTGTGTTAGAGGGTGAGATTTTTGCAGAAGTTTTATATAAGTAACAGAGTTACTTTAATAACGCTTTGTGCAAATTGCACCCCAGGAACTTACATATCCATGTATTTGTTCCATTCATTTAATATGGAAGTTAAAGTAAATACAGGACTTGAGACAATAAAGATCTTTCGTGCACTCTGCTCCCTGTGTATTACTACACATTTCATGTCTTGCTCTTCTTCTCACATTCTTAGAAGTTCCTGTCTCAATTATTTTCCTTTTGAAAGCTGCTTTTTGCTTGTAGTTTAAATACTTATGTAAATGGATGCAACAAATCTGAACATGAAAGATGTATTTACATATCCAATGCATATGAGTTCCCTAAGGGTCCTTTCACAAGGGCATTACGTTTTTTTTTTTCTTCAGTTCTGTCACATTTTTTCAAAGAAAAAACGGATGAGTTTACATCCGTTTTTTCATCTGTTTTTCATCCGTTTACATTGCATTTGTCATCCGTTTACATTGGTTTACATCCATTTACATCTGTTTTTCATTAGTTTACATCTGTTTTCATCGATTTATATCCATTTTTGATCCGTTTACATCCATTGACATCTGTTTTTTCGTCTATTCCATTTTTTTTTTTTTGCTGAAGAAAAATAGGGTTTTCTCCCGTTCAAAAAAACGGATGTGGACATTAACGGATGCAAAAAGATGTTCATCTGTTTATATCTGCAAGTCCATAGAAATAAATGGGGGTCTTTTTTTCATCCATAAACGGACAGATGGAAAAGGGACATATGGAATACACGTGTGAAAGGGGCCTAAGCCACAATCACCATGAGGGCCTATGTGCAAGATCATAAATTGGGCCCGTAACAAGACCGAGCCTTTCCACATTTCAGCCACCTACATGTGTACACTTTTTGAGATACATTTTGAGATACATATTTTCAGTAATAATGCTGAATGGTGGGCATGGTCAAATTGTGTAAGGGTACTAAAGGGGCATGGATTAACATAATCTGAGTCTAGCAGACACATAGAGCACTCAGTCCCATCTTTTTTTTTATTAAACTTTTCCAGCACTTATGTTTTTTAACCTACCTTAAAGCATAACTAAAGGAAATAGTTTTCTTTTTAATTGGGATAGAGTGAAGAGGGATTGGTACACCTGCCAAGTTTTTATTGCTGTCTCTGTTCTCCCATTATAGAGATTCACCCTCTCTCTTTGTCCTGTTTACCGTCAACATCAAACTTTAAGTAAAAGAAAATCCCACATTTTGGGCTGCCCCCAAAACAGCAATAAGAGGGAACTCTTCCAACAGAAACATTAGTTCTGTTGGCCCTAGTGACAACCAGGGATTCCCTCACTTTGCCTTTTCCTCAGTTTTCCCTTTAGTTCTGCTTTAAAGAAGAACCTCATAAACAAGCCAGTGACTACTTCTGCAACCAGCAACTGTTAAGACAATAAAGAAATTGGTTAAAAAGAATTGGTGGTCAGTGATCGGGTGTAAAAATATCCCCCCAGCATGAGTGGTCAGTGATTAACTATAAAAATCCCCCATTCCCCCCCAGCATTGGTGGTTGATAGCAGGCTAGAACAATAACCCCGCACCGTTGGTCCTGGCTGGAATAAACACCACCCCTAGCATTGCAGCATTGGTGGTTAGTGGCTGGCTGGAACAATAACTCCCAGCCCTAGGTGGTTAGTGGCTGGCTTAAACAATAACCTTCCAGCATTGGTAGTAATTGGATGGCTGGGCTATAG